TGTGTGTGTGTGTGTGTGTGTGTGTGTGTGTGGCCAGCTCAGCCCACTGGGGGCGGGCTGGCTGTCATGTGGTGCTGGGGGATTGAACCATGGTCCCTGGGCTTTGCTAAGCTTGTTCTAAGTAGGTGCTTTAGACCACTGAGCCATCTCACCAGCCCCGTGTATTGTATTTTTGTAGGTATTCTATAAATTTCACTACATCCAGTTGGCTGAATTCAGGTCTTTTATAACCTTACTATTTACCTTTCTTCTTCTGTGGTCTCTGAGAGAGAAGTATTACAACTTCAACTCTTCAACTCTTAATTGTGCATCTTCAATCTTCAACTCTTAATTGTGCATCTGTTTCTTCTTCTTCCAGATTGATTTGTTTTACTTACCATGAAAGCCACTAAGGCTATGGTGTTTTGTTGTTATGAGTCATTGATGTATTGGGATATGGACTGGGTCCCCTTTTTAGTGAAATGCATACACATTTAAGATTATTTAGGATTGTCTTCTTAGACTTAACCTTTTTGTCATTATATAATTTTGTTGCTGGTGATATTTTTGTTCTATGGTGTCTTTTCTCTAGTATCAATGCAATTTTTTCAGCTTTCTTTTGGTCAGTGTTTGTATGGGACATCCTTTTGCTCTTAAACTATCTATGTCTTGATATTTAAAGTAGTTTTTATAGATAGCATATGCACTTGTCCATAGGTATCTGTGAGACATTGGTTTTAGGACCACTTGGATAGGAAAATCCCTTGCAGATAGTAAAAGCCCTTTATATAACATGTTGTATTTGCATACAATCTATGTTTATCTTTCTGTATATTTGAATTGATCTCTCATTTATAATATCTAATACAAAGTAAATGCTATATAAATGGTATCTTTTAGGGAATAATGATAAAAGTTGATATGTGTTCAGTATCAGTGCAGTTTCTTCTTAATATTTTTGATTCTCAATCTGATATGCAAACACAGAGCCCATGAATGTAGAGAGAGGACTGATGCTTTTTTTTTTTTTTTTTTTTGTAATTTATGGAAGGGTCTAGAGGATGTTCAGGGTCTCA